TAGCATTTTAATTGGATTGATTCATGCCTTTTTTGTACCCCAGCTCTTGTGTTTTATCTTAAGCCACTTTGGGTAAATGATGGCGAAAAGGGCAATATAAATTAGATCAGACCACTTAATCAGATTTATTTATTTCACGCATTTCTACCCTGCCCTTCTCAATCCCCGAGGGGGGACTCAGAGCGGCTTACAAAAGGCACAATTCGATGCCCAACATAAACATAAACAATGGATGAAACATGTATACAGCAATTATAACAATCAAGCAGTCACTTTATACAACAAAATCAATAAAAATCAATAAAACCAGTCAGTACTCGGCGTTCACCATCTCAGAGTCCATAAATTCATTCCATATTGTCTAATCATCATTGTCCTTGTCTAACTGCCAGATTGCCTGAAAGCCTGGTCCCACAACCATGTTTTTAATTTCCTTCTGAAGGAGAGGAGGGATGTCGATGACCTAATTTCCCTGGGGAGTGAATTCCATAGGTGAGGGGCCACTGCCGAGAAGGCCCTGCTTCTCGTCGCCACCAATCTCACTTGTGATAGAGGTGGGGTCGAGAGCAGAGCAGTACGGATACTTGAGGCGTTGTCTTTTGACACGTCATGTTGGCAGATCTGCTAGAAATTGGGTCTTTTTAAAAACGGAAGGGGGTGCCTTTCAAGGCTTCACTTTTTCCTCTGGGATGGTTCCACCCTGCAAAGGGGCTCTTGGCGTCAAAATAAGGGGAGCAGCCTCCTTCAGGCAGGGAGCAGCCCTGGGCTGGAGGGGGATTGTCATTTGGAGCGCATTGAAGGGGGAAGGAGCTAAACCTCCCTCTCTGTGCGTCTCTTCCCAAATCTGATTGAGACCCCCTGCAGGGGCTGCTTACGGCTTTAAAGGGATCCAGCTCCCGGCCATATGTAATGTTTGCCTTTAAAGCCTCCTTGGATGCCAATCTGATTTACTCCTGAAACACACACAAACCCAGGAGGAGGGTCTTGCCAGGGTTCCAGCCTCAACTTCTTTTGCAGCAGCTGACATCCAGGGACCTGTTTTCACTATTTCTTGTGTGTGCTTGAGAGAAAGCTCAGACTTCATCTTTGGGAGCGTTGTGGGCCTGGGAGAGCCTGCCACGCCCCCATTCCCTCTCCGCTCTTTGTCACATTCCCAGTTCTTCATTCTTAGTTAAGCTAAACAGAAATGTGTCTGGTTTCTTCCATCCTTGCTCTGTCTGTTAGTCATTCTTTAGGCATCCTGGCCAAGCAGACCGCACAGCCTCTGACAGAGAAGCGCTTTTTACACAAACCCTTTCCTCCTTCTCCTCTCACTAGAAAGTGGTTTTTATGAAAGCAGCATTGGCCTTGGGAAGATGGCAAAAGGGGGCTGAAGAAGCAAGTCTGATAAAGCTTTTTCTGGGAAAAGAGCTGCATGTGCCTAAAGATGCCTCGTGCCTACCCACAACAAGCGAAGTAGACCGCAGCTGCCACAAAAATTGAAATTATGAGAACTATGTAGGCTGGTGAAAGAAAAGGGCCTCCCTGGGTGCATTTTGGAAGCCGCTTTCAACTTTTTTTTAGAACCCATACTTTTTATCAGATTATTGAATACATATGTAGACATATAAACAAATTTCACAGTAATGCACAACAAAGCAAAGTACCACAAAAACATATATCCCTACCATCTGTAAACACAAACGTACAACACAAATATACACGCATAGATCAGTGAAATTGATTTACCACTTTTTGGTTTGAAATATGTTGAGCTAAAGTCAGTCCTACACATTTGCTGGGTTTAGGGGGACAGGATACTGGAAGGATACTAGAGACAAAGTTGAAGTACTTTGGCCACATCATGAGGAGACAGCAAAGCTTAGAGAAGGCAATTATGCTGGGGAAAGTAGAAGGCAAAAGGAAGAGGGGCCGACCAAGGGCAAGATGGATGGATGGCATCTTTGAAGTGACTGGACTGACCTTGAAGGAGCTGGGGGTGGTGACGGCTGGCAGGGAGCTCTGGAGTGGGCTGGTCCATGAGGTCACGAAGAGTCGGAGACGACTGAACGAATGAACAACAACAAGGGGGACAGGGCCCCTGCAAAAGTAGAAAAAATGTGACTTTGAAAACACTATTTTAAACTGAGAGAATACTTCTCTAGGAACCTCTAAGTCCTCCAGCTCGACTCTGCTGGAAGTTGACCATAGAATCACATGAGAGGATGTACAAATGACTAGATAAGTGTTATCTCCAGGAATTTCTGGGTTCTCCAGCAGATTGTACAGGGAGGACCTAGAGATTCTGAGAGATAATACAGTATATCAATCACATCAGCAAAAGTGAAATCCACAGATGTGGAGGGGCTGACTCTGCTCCCTTTTTTGTGGTGTCAGAATCTCTCCCAATTCTTTTCATGTTTCCGTGTTTCACCAAATCTAAGGAGCCACATAATGTAAGGCACACTCTGTTTTTTAAGCATCCATTTTAAGAAAAACAGTTTTCATGGACTATTTTTTTAGAATTTCCTCTGCATGCACATTGTCTCCCCCCCCCCCCCCCCCCATGCAGCTTTGTAGTGCAATCTTTCCTGTAGGGCAGTGGTTCTCAACCTGTGGGTCCCCAGATATTTTGGCCTACAACTCCCATAAATCCCAGCCAGTTTACCAGCTGTTAGGATTTCTGGGAGTTGAAGGCCAAAAACATCTGGGGACCCCAGGTTGAGAAGAGCGTATGAAGAAGGGTGAGAAGAGCGTATGAAGAAGTCTTCTTGCCTCCATGAGTCTATTTTCCTAGGTCTGTGGATCACTTGAGGAGGCAGTGGAAGCAGGGAGCGGTGCTTAGCTGAGACAAACGGTAAACAGCCCTCTGGCTGAGGACAAAAGGCTGGGGTCTGGCAGAGCAGTTAGGGGCCAGGGCCTTTCTTCCTGCTCCTCTTCCTCTCTCAGACATAAGAAAAGAAAAACCAGCATTGGATACTCTAAGGCACACCCTATTTTCGAAGTCCTTTAAACAGGTAAAAATAGGACTATATGTAAATGTAAAGGTTTCCTTTCTGGAGGGAAGTGCTCATCTGCATTTCTAAGCCGAAGAGCCGGTGTTGTCCGTAGACACCTCCAAGGTCATGTGCCCGGCATGACTGCATGGAGTGCCATCACCTTCCTGCAGAAGCAATACCTATTGATCTACTCACATTTGCATGTTTCTTGTATGGATGCTTCTGCTAGGCTGGCAGAAGCTGGGCCTAACAGTAGGAGCTCACCCCACTCCCTAGATTCGAACCACCAATGTTTTGGTCAGCAAATTCAGCAGCTCAGCAGTTTAACCTGCTGCACCACGAGGTGCTATAGATTCAATGAAATATGACATTTCGGCCTTTGGTGCCAATATTGTTTAGGAGCACCCTAACTTTGTTATCTGGGGGACACTGCTGAAGTTGTCCTGGCCTGCGTTTGCTTTCCTTCCTGGACTGTATCTCCAGAGTTGCCTGCGAAGCCTCGGGAGCAAAAGTCCCTTGCGCTGGGGATTACCCGGGCCCTCCCTTTGTGCCAGCTTTTAATAGCTACACATGAGAAGACTTTTGACCTGTTTCCTTGCCCCTCTGTGACTCCGTGGCACTTAACTTCTCCCATCTGTGGCACATGGGATGGGAAAGGTAGCTCGGATGTGGGACGCGGGCCCTCCCAACCCGAGGCCCGCACTCCCCCTTGAAAGCGTGCCAGCCCTTTTGCTCCCATCCTGCAGAAAAGGGAGACGTGGGAGTGATGAATGAGCCTGGGCAATTGGTTTATGACATGGGTTTCACCTCCAAAGGTATGGGGATAATCCAAGGCCATGTTGGGGCTGTAAGTAGGTCTTTAAAGAGGGGGACAGGGACAGGGCTTTCCTCCCTCTGTCAATAACGGCAAGGACTTCTTTTTTTCCAAAAGGAAGAGGCTGCTGCCATGCGCGGAGTCATCTGAGGTCAGAAACGTGCCACAGGCCCTCTCTCCTCTACGGAGAGGATAAACAAGCCTTGCCTTGCAGTGATTGAAGGATATACATCCCTCGTTACGTAAAGAATAATCTCTATACGGGAAGCCTCAGCAGATGGGGAGCGACTCACTCCTCCCCCCCCCCGGGGGGGCTGGCTTCGGTTTTGTGGCTGAAATTGAACCACCTGAGGACTCTCTGCATTCAACTGGGAGGGAATTAGGTTTAAGATTTTTCCTTTGTCAATTATTCAGTGTTTTCAGGGCTTTCTGCAAAGTCAGAATAGAGCAGCGACATTTCAACGGTAAAGCATTATGAAGGCACTCAGGAAAATTGTAGGGTTATGCTACATTGGGACACCCATGCAGTGATATAGCTTCAAGTATCTGTCTTCAAAAGGTAGTTATGCTGCTTCTTCAAAATAGAGAAAGTTGTGTTCTTCATCAGGGAGCTTGCAAGTTTTGCTTCACATTCTGGTTTGCTGCACAGATTCCTTCTCTGGAATTCCAAAACAGTCCAGAATTATCCACCTGAGTGGCTAAGGGGTGTGCTGATGGTTCAACATGCACAAGCTTTGTTCCATGCACAGAACTATTGGAAATATCGTGTATAAAATGACCTATATGCTATGTGTGTAAAGTGTAACTTTAATGGATTTTGTGTTCAGATTTCGGTCCCATCTGTAAAGTTATCTCATGTATATGCAAATACAGGCGGGGGTATTTTGGCCATGTTTTTGCCATTCCTTGGGCCAATTTTTGGCACAGGAAAGACCTTTCTTTGAAACAGGAAGTGACTCCTACTAGCTTCCTCTTGTAAAAAAAAAGGCTTAAAATGGCTTCAAGGGGCTGGAAACAAGGTGAAAAGCCTAGAAGGAGTTTGGAAACATTCCTGGGATGCTTTGGGGGTGCATTTCTCCAAGGTCTCCCACAGTTGCCCCCCTCCTCTTCAAGGCGTCCTGCAAGCATATCTTGCCCTATGTTGGTCACCTCCTTATTGCCCTGCCTTTGTCTGCCTAAGAGTTCTGCTTTTCGGTCTTCTTTTGCAGCTTTCAGGCCCGGAGAGGTGCTGAGCCATGGCTGACTTTGACCACAACCTCAGCCTCGCGGACGCCCTGACGGAACCCCCTCCGCAGATTGAGGAGGAAGTGAAACGGGATTTCATGGCCACTCTGGAGGCAGAGAAGTTTGATGATGTGATTGGAGAGAAAGTGGACAAGACGGACTACGTCCCTCTTTTAGACGACGACGACCCCAAGGCCCCTGGGAGCCAGGAGGGGAAAGCCAAGCCTCACGTGGACAACGCCTCGGCCGAGCGTAAGTGTCTCTGCAATCAAGGAGCAAGAGCCCTGGCCTTTGGCCCTGCCCCCTCCTTTGCATCCCCTGGCTTAAACCCTCTCCTGCTTTGAAACCAGTGCATTATGGCCAGATCTGGAGCAGAGAATGGTGCAGGTGAGAGGCTGGGATTGGCTGGCTTTTCTTGTCATGCTGCAGATGAGTGTGGAGGTGTGCATGTGCCATACCCAGTGGATAGATGCTGCCCATTGAGAGTAGTAGGGATTGAGGAGGGACCCTGCTTTCTTGAGGCTTTCCAGGACATGTGCTTATACATAAAAGCCCAGGAGTTGCAGCCTTGGCTAGTGTCCTCTTCTGTTTTGAGCTTATTGTCACACCTCCGTGCTGGGGGCCAATGATGGACCGTGACGGACAGAACTCTTTGGCGTCCCAGTGGCTGAGCATCACCCCTTGGCAGAGCCTGGTTTCAGGGGAGAATTCTGAGCTTTAGGGCATTTAGGATCTCAAGCAGGCAGGGGCCTTCCATTATAACCAGAGCTTGGAAAAGTTCCTTCTTTCGACCACAGCTCCAAGAATCTCTCAACCAGCATGGCCTTTGAGCATGTTCTGTGCATGATTCGGTTGTGCCAAAGACGTGACTTCCCCAAGCTTGGATCTATGACGGTCTTCTCAGATCTTAAATTACATGGCAGCTCCTTGGGAAAGATCCGCAGCCCATCCTTGGCTCTCCTGCCTGCCCTGGCCTGACTCCTGGAGCTGAGGCTCCGCTCGCCTCCTCTTTCCGCTCTGCCTGCAGCCCAGTTGCTTGGTGCCACGACGGATTCCTTCTCCTTCTATGCCTGCTGCTGAAACGGTTTGGGCATCTTCCGCTCGCTGCCTGTTGTCTCGGCTGTCACTCCTCCAGTCTGGCCTCCCACTCCCGATTCCTTGCTGAGCGCTTCTTTCTCTCCATTGCTCAGCAGGGACTCATACACAGGCTCCCCTCCCCTTTTTGTCCTCGTTTGCTCCCTTCCAAGCTTTATGGGTCCTGTCAGGGTCTGTTGGCCCCTCCAAACATTCAGTTTGGGGCAGAGGAATGCAACCCAGAATGGATACATCTAATGGGGAATTTTGCAGCAGACCCTCTGCTTAGTTTCCCTTTGCTCTACTCCAGCTTTACAACAAGGTTGGTTGCTGCTTGTTGCTTTGCTCTGTTCTGTACAAGGTGAGTGGCATAAACAAACCTCATACTAAGGATGGAGTGCTTCAGCCATTTTTTTCTCAAAAGAAAAACCAAAGTAATTTTAGCAATTTTCTTCTGTGAGGAAGTCGCTGGAACTGATTCTGTCAGGTCTTTAAATTCAGAACACAACATTTCTGCGCAAGAAACAAAATTTTCTGTATTGAAAATACTTTTTCTTTCATGGAACATGCTTTTTTCTGCCCCAAATCCCCAGATGACAAATTGTGAAGCTTCTTACCCATCTAAGTCTCTCTTCATTGGAATATCCTGATACTCAAGAAATGCATTTTTGACCATTTTTTGAATGTCACATATTCAATATTCAAATCCCTAAGCCAGCCATTAATCTGATGGAGGCTGCAACCAAAAAATCAGAAGTCTAGGACTTTGAAGAACAGCTGTGACCGGAACTAGACAAGATCCTGGCATGGAAGATAGAGAATTGAATACTAAATTTAGGATTGCCCGTGCCACCTCATTTTCCATTTCTTTGCCTGTCTGAGGGAGAAGGAAACCGGTAGGAAGGAAATCAACTCTTTTATGATTATGGATTGCTAAAAAACCCTAATAAATGGGTCATGGAAGGAAACAAGATTGAACATTTTCTAGAAACCAAGATGGCTAAACCGAAGCTGTCCTACTTTGGCATCATGAGAAGAAAGGATTCCCCGGAAGGGAGAGCAATGCTTGGCAAAAGGAAAGCAGTGGAAAAGAGGAAGATCAGTGTCCAGGTGGTGGATGGACTCCCTCAAGGAAGCCCCAATGGCTGCCCTGAGCCTGCAAGGCCGGAGCAGGGCCCCTGATGGTAGATAGCATGATTAGGAGACCTCCATTCATGGGATCACCTAGGTCCACGTTGGCATGACAGCCGTTCTCAACAAGAACAACCAGGCCATGCATTTGTTTCTAGCTTGTTTTCTTCTCCCATATGTAATTGCATGACTGTTTTAAGCAAGTAATGGTTCCTGGCCCTCCCCTCGACTGTCTGGAGCAGTTTCCTCTCTTGTGTTACGCAAGGCAGCTCCCCAGGCACCGTTCCGGAGAATCCGTGTTTATATAACCGATTTAAAAGTAAACTTGCATCATGTGTCAGGATGTGTAACTTGTCTCTTTCTAGCGGGCTTAACTTTTATCACACCTGAAAACTCACCCATTGTCTGCCTCTGGGCGAGATGTCTGATGTTCACTCCCAAAATTAAAACAGATGGGGGACCCGCGGGGATGGGGATGGGGACGATGATGGGGAACCGCAAGGGAGAGAGTCTCCGCAGGCTCCCTTGATCCCTCTCAAGACTCTCTTCCTCTAAACCGAGCCCTCCTTGGCCTCCTCACTCTCCTAGCCTTTGACAGGTCTTTACATTCTCCTTGCTGAAGCACTTTCTGCTTCCAAAATGTGAAGTTTATCGCCTCAGACACATCTGGGGTGCAAAGAGGAGACTCAAGTGAGGGGTCAGCGGCAGGCCAGCAAGGAGCCTCCAAGTCGGAGAGGGTTTGGAGTCCCTTGCAAATCTTTCTCGGGTGGATTGCAGTCCATTCTGCTCTGAAGCCCTGAGGCAGGTCTGAAGCATCCTTTAAACACATTTCCAGTTCTCCAGACAAGCAATAAGTTCAGCAATGTTCCAGTGTTATGTATGCATATGTTGCTAGAGCAGGGGAGGAGGGGAAGTGACTCTGTGGTCAGGTTTCAGTTGGGAGTTTAAGTCTGAACTGGTTCCCAGTCCAGGCTCCAAGGTGGTGTGCTTGGCTGTGGGTTTTTTTTTTGGGGGGGGGGGGCAGGGAGCATTAATTACCAGGTGCCATGATTTGTAGAAAGAGGGTTTTCTTTTTAACTACTATTCCCATCATCCCAGCCTACATCTTAGTGGCTGGAGAATACCATGCATCGCAGTCCAAAGCTGGAGAACCCTTTGTCTTCCAGATTCTGGATGCCCTTCCCCTCCTCTCCCCTCCCCTCAATCTTATCAGAGGTGCTCCTACCTGGGGGAATTGTTTTGAATATCATGAGCAACATTGTTGCTGTTATTGATTGCCAGGTCAGTGTTGACTTATGGCGGACATATGAATGTGAGTCCTCCCAAGTTCCCCCATCATCATCTACCTTCACCCGTCTCATAGGAAACCTGCTACAAAACAGGAGCTTTTTTGTTGAGTTCAGGGCCAGAGAAGCAGATGGCGGAAACAGAAGAACGACCTACCTCAGGGGAGTGTGCTTGCTCCCTCCATGTTCAACATCTACACAAATGACCAGCCACTGCTAGAAGGGACAAAGAGTTTCATCTATGCTGATGATTGTGCCATTACTGCTCAAGCAGGGAGCTTTGAGATGGTAGAACAGAAGCTTTCCGAAGCTCTAGGTGCTCTTACTGCCTACTACAGGGAAAACCAGCTGATCCCCAACCCATCTAAAACACAGACATGTGCCTTTCATCTCAAGAACAGAGAAGCATCCCGAGCTCTGAAGATCACCTTGGAAGGAATCCCACTGGAGCATTGCAGTGCACCCAAATACCTGGGAGTCACTCTGGACCGTGCTCTTACCTACAAGAAGCACTGCCTGAACATCAAGGAAAAAGTGGGTGCTAGAAACAATATCATACGAAAGCTGATCATCTACAGTTCTGCTCAGGACTGATGTGCTTCTTGGCTTGCTTCCTTCCTAACTGAGATGTGGTTTCCCTCTTTTCCTTCCAGCCTCCTACTTTACCAAGCATGATGGCCTTTTCAAGCAAGTCACATCATTTTGTGACATGTCTGAAGCATGTCAGCCTCAGTTTAGTCAGTGAAGGCTTTGGTTCCTAGGGTTACCACATTTTAGGCCTTGGAAGCATCTTTGCTGCACTCTTGTGGGGTTTTGTTGTCTCAGTTGTGAGGATTGGAGTAGAGTTTCCTCCCAAAGAAAAGGGAAGGTGTGCCAGAGATGTCCAGCGTGGGCTGGTCCTGTGTGAGCCAAGGGCAGGGCTGGCTGATCTCATTCCTTCCTTTCGAATCTCTTGGTTTTAAAGTCTTAGGAATACCTCTGGGCTCTGTTTTTCTTTCTGACTTGAGGCAAGATGAGATCAGCTGTGAAAGAAGAAAACCAATTCCAGGGGTGTAACTCTTTGGCTCGGCATTGTGGCTTCTGGGCCGTGCCTTAATAAGTCTCCAACATTGGGCCAGGTGGCTCTTTGTGGAAACACCTCCTTTGTGGGCTCTCTGTTGGAATGCAGTTTAGTTTCATTATTTTTGAAGACGTGAAAATGTTCCTTCTCAGATGGGCGGTCATTATTCCCAGCCCCATAGCCTGACTCATATGAGGTGCCCATCCAGGGATGTCTTGCGCATAGATCTGGGAAAGAGAGGTGAAATCAGGGTAGGAGGGCTGCACCACAGGGTTCCCCCTGTCCCTCATGGCTCTTTATATACAAAGTGTGAGTGCTTCTTCACATCCAACACCAATTGGTCCTTGTCCATCTCCACCAGGTCTTCTCTGAAGCCCCAAACTAGAACTGTGCTTCTGGGGTACCAGTTGATGAATGGCACACGGCTGGTGTAGTCCTAGTGGTCCTTTGGGAAGGTAGCCTCAATCAAGTCTCGTTCTCTCCTCCCGGTAGTCCATGAAATGTCAGTGTAGGCTAGGCATGGCCCAACTTTGGTCCCGGTAGGCTGTTAGGAATTGTGGGAGTTAAAGTCCAAAACACCTGGAGGGCCAAAGTTTGCCCAGGACTGGTGTAGGCCTTGGACTCTTCCCTCATTCAGGAAAGGCTGCTTGAAATCCCTGGGCCAGATTAGGCAGGCTTAAAGGCCGGCTCTGTGTGGACCC